CTGCTCTGATGTAAAAATGAATGTGTACTGTACATGTACTATTATGCTTTAGAAAAATAAAGGGAAAGATATTGCAGAAACTGAAGTTTGGAGATTATCAAGTGTAGATAAACAAATAATTAACTTATGGCAGCAGTGTATTACTTAATGATGATGTTTATCTACCATATCCTATCATACAGTTGTAATTTGATGTTAGAAATAACTACTATAGAGTACACAACAAGTACTTCATAGTCAGATATGTATAAAACAGCATGAACGTAGGGTAACAAAACCAAAGATCAAATCAAAGTAGACATACATCTTATTCCATCATATTACATGCATGCATAACAATAGAATTATACTATTAATAAAGTTAACTGGGATGCCTGTCTATCCGCTACATGTATCATACCCTACCATAATCTGATGTCAGGAAACTAATAGCTAAATGTGCATGGACTATAAGTACTTTATGGTTACTCAGCTTCGTAGATGTATGAATGGCAGCGTGAAAGCAGAGCAACCAAAACAAAATATCAGACTAAAGTAGACACACATCTTAGTCTGTCAAATGTTTCAATGCATTAAAATAACATACATGTACATCTACATGTAACATTACAATAGGATTATACACTATTAATACAACATGTACATGTATAAAAATTAGAGACACAAGAATTGTTACGTGTCAGATACAAGAATTGTTACAATTACTGACTCACTTTCTAATAACAGTGGTTAGTTTAGGTTGTTGAGGAGCCTGAGGTCCATTAGGACTTCCCTCGTCACTCTCCTCTCCTCCAGGATTATCAATCTCATCATCATCCAATTCAAACAGCTCCTCCTCTCCCTCGCTCTCTCCTTCAAGAAATGAGTCTTTGGAAGGTGTGGCTTTTGAGAGTCGCTTCTTTTTAGATTGACGTGTCTGTGGTGTTGATTGTTGCTGTGTCTGTTGCTGTTGTTCTCCTACTAATTCCCAGAAACACAATGACCTGTCTGATCTCCACTGACGAAACTGCTCATAACCTTTAAGGAAATGTCCAACAGGTCATATAAGGTAAATAATGTACAATTATAATTCTTAAATGATTATAATACAAGCCACACTATAATGTGTATTAAAAATTAAAATTGATTACACATAGAGTTGTGGTTCATAATGCTGGTACATGTATTACATGTACATGCATGTACATACCATGTTTAACTATTCCAACTAACAGAGACACGTCACATAAACTGTTCCACCATGGAACTGGAGGATCCTCTTCTGGCTTAGGAGGAACAAAATCAAGATCCCTATCATAACAATGATAATAATAATAAAGTAAGTAATGTACTGTACATGTACATGTACATGTATCATGTAAATAGAAATGTACATTAAATGTTAATAACCTAAAATATTTATGTTAGAATCAGCTCAAGCTTTCCACATAGTTTAAAGACATTAATATGTATCAAAAAATGTGTAAAAATTTGGGGTGATTTTGGAGCCATTTATTGGAAAAAAAATGATGGGCTATATACATGAATAGCCTTGGGTATTTTTTTAAATTTGGCCATTTTTAAAAAATGGCCATAACTTGAAAAATTGAAGTCGGAATCAGCTCAAACTTTTTACACAGCATAAGGACATCAATATGTTTTTTAAAATGTAATAAAAATTGGAGGTGATTTTGGAGCCAATTTATAGAAAAAACCATGGACTATAGCCTTGGGTACTTCAAAAAAATCAGCCGTTTTTAAAAAATGGCTATAACTTGAAAAATTAAAATCAGAATCAGCTCAAACTTTTTATACAGCATAAGGACATTAATATGTATAAGAAAGTGTAATAAAAATTGGGGGTGATTTCGGAGCCATTAAAAAAACCATGGGCTATAGCCTTGGGTATTTTTCAAAAATCAGCCAATAAAAAAATGGCCATAACTTGAAAAATTGAAGTCAGAATCAGCTCAAACTTTTTACACAGCATAAGGACATCAATACGCATCAGAAAATGTAATAAAAATTTGGGGTGATTTTGGAGCCATTTTTTGGGAAAAACCATGGGCTATAGCCTTGGGTGTTTTTCAAAAATTGGCTGTTTTTATAAAAAAAGGTCATAACTTGAAAAATTGAAGTCGGAATCAGCTCAAACTTTCTACACAGCATAAGTACATCAATATGTATCAGAAAATGGAATAAAAAATTGGGACGAATTTGGAGCCATTTTTTGGAAAAAACCATAAGCTATTATAGCCTTGGGTATTTTTCAGATTTTGGCCATTTTAAAAAATGGCCATAACTTGAAAAATTGAAGTCGGAATCAGCTCAAACTTTCTACACAGCATAAGTACATTAATATGTATCAGAAAATGTAATAAAAATTGGGAGTGATTTTGAAGCTAAGTTTTGGAAAAACCATGGGCTATAGCCTTGGGTATTCTTTAAAAGTCAGCCGTTTCAAAAAAGGCAATAACTTAAAAATTTAAAGTCAGAATCAGCTCAAACTTCCCACACAGTATAAGAGCATAAACACAATGTATGTGCATGTATCAAAAAATGCTGAAATTTTAAAGCCAGTTTGATAAACATGTCTTGAGTCAAAAATTGTATTTTAAAGATCAAATTTTACTGTTCTAGCCATCAGGATATCAAAGAATGCACCCTCATTACATAAAATACTCACTTTGCAAAGGCTCCAGCTTTAATTTGTTTAATGTAAGGTTTCATTATTTGCCAGCGAATCAAGTGTAATTGTCTCACCCTTAATAATATCCTAACAGAAATATAATAATAAAAATAATTATGCATATAAGTGCTTAACACAATGACATCACATGCAGATGTAAAAATATAAAATCCCCATTAGGCATTTAGAGTACTAAAAAACCCAAATAATTTAATAATTTATGTTTAACGTTTTTGCAATGGTGGGTATAATAACATTCATTAATTTTAATGATTTTTGCAAATTGTTAAAATTTGCAAATTAAAGTTCAAAAATGCTAAAATAGTTAAAATTAATGGATAGTAATTCTTAATGGTCTAATGTACATGTACATGTATTTACTTTGTTGAGTGTCGTCTAAGATGCTTCATGTATGATTCCTCCTGAAAGAGAGTCTCAGGATCTTTAGCCATTAAAGCAAGATAGTCCTCTTCAGTAAACCCAGTAAAGTAGCCAGAATGAGTTGAGCTATCATCAGAATGGTCTTCAGTTTGAATGCTAGGGTCAATCATTTGGTGGATGTAAACCTTGACTTTCTCATCACCAGAAAAATTATGAAGACAATATATTAGCTAAAAGAAATCAGAATAGAAGTAACAAAATAAATAAAATACACAAATGACAAATTGTGTAGCATTACTAGTACATACATGTACATGCACATACATTGTACAGTAGTAACAGTACTATGTGGCACTCTTACTATTTGTACAATTAATGAATTATCAAAATAGTGCCTGTCCATTACAAGCTATTTAAAGTACCACAAAAATAGCCAGTTACATGTATGTGTATGTGTTAACTCTCACTTGATTGTACATGAACATGTACATGTATAGTATTGTGTCATTCCTTACCATAGTTCTTGATATATTCTCTATGTCCCTGATATTCAATTGTCTCTTTTTAAAGTTACACCCGGCAAGTATATCCACCCACTGTCCCCACCTACAAACCACACCCACTAATTAACAGTAACCATAGCAACCACTAACCCATAAACCAGTAGCGCTTTCTCGATCTTAAAGCACTCCAGTTTGGTCCATCCTTTCTTTCCTCTTGATGGTAATATGTCCAGAATCTCTTCTTGACTCTCATCCATGTCAACTATTGTCTCCAGCATCTCATCACCATAGCGGCGAACCTGTCTCCTTACACGAGGTTCATCCATTACAAGATTATCCTTAAAATAAATTTGATATAAAATATACAGGTAGATGTACGCTTGAAGCTAGCCCATTTTATAATGGATACATTCATCTGTGTACCTGCATGTACCCTTCCAGTGTCAATACATTACAACGTACATGTATACGTACAAATGTACATGTACAATGTAATTACATTTGCTATTGAATTCATGTATGTACACATACATGTACATGTACAGTAGCTTATAATATGCTTATCAATAATACATACTTGCACAAATGTACATGTGCATAAAGGGTAGATTCCACAATACATCCAATGATAATTTTAAAGATACTCATACATGTAGTCGCGTATCACTGTCTTATATCAGTATAACTTACTTTCTTGGCAAGTTGATCCAAGTTAAGGTTTGCCTTCTTTGCCCACTTTTGCCAGAAGTCAGGATCATCAATATGAATATCAGTGGCACCGTCAGACACAAAACTAGCTTTAGAGAAGGTAGAGCCTTTCCCTTCAGACTCCAGTTGTATCACTTGAGTCCGTCTCTCCAGTATCTGATCTATGTCCTCTTCACAAAACCTCAAGTGATAGAGAAAAAAGAGAGAGAATGAAAAGAATGGGTATAAAACAATTATTATTTTATTGTGCTCAATTGTACATGTACATGTACACACATACAATGTACATCCTACTATTGCATAAAGTCAAATATTTTTTCAGGGAATGTTAACCAATTATTTAGGAGCAAAAGTCCTTATTGCAAAGCCCACCAATCATTCTCAGTAATAGTAAAACTAAAAGCTGCCAAGTAAATGTTTATAAATGTACACTCCACATACTGTATAGCGCTTTATTTTGGAGAAGCAAACTTTCATTATTTTCGCGGTTAGCATGAAACCGCAAAATTAAAGATCCGGTAATATTTCAAATGCCATTAAAGGCATGGCACTCCGCATAAAATTGATTTTTATCAATCTGCGAAATTTTAGCTCCGCAAAATTAAAGCGCTATACAGTACATTAATTTTATGTAAGAAGCTTCAGACTATGGCAAAAATAAATACAAGTACACAATACTACTTATGTTGACGTGCTGCAAATGAAAGGGACTAACTGGTTAGCAGCGTCATCACTGTCCATTATTGTACTGTAAGCTCCTCTCTTTAATAGATTCTCAATCTCAGACTTTGATAACTGTGGAGGCTAAAAAACAATTAATTACAATAAATAATAATAATCGTAGTAGTAATAATAATAATTGGGGCGAGCCTGAGCTCGCCCCACTAAGGCGAGAAAGCGTCTGTTTGTATGTATGTATGTACGGGCATAATAGGGTCGTCTAACTATCATTAAAGTTAAATAGCCTAATCTTCAATGAAAACGGGTGTGGTCACAATGAATAAAATGGCGGCCATCAGCAAGTCTGAGCTTATTTACAGCAGATGGTCAGCAAGATAAGACTAAACTGCTGTCTAAGAACTTCTCTAGCAAGAAGAAAGGTTGGAAAAGCAGATATACAGTCTTTTCCTTGGCATAAAGGATTAAATGCAAGTGAGAAAGCTGCATGTACTGTACTGCTATAGCTGCTTGCATCATGACATCTATTCTAGGCCGTGTTTCTTCTCTAGCAGCAAGCCTAGGCTAACAAAGCAGATATACAATCATCAAATACGATTTCTTCAGTGACTGCTTCAAACTATAAGGGGCTCGCCCCTTAATGCATTGCATTTTCCCTAGTAATAATAACAATAAGTGATGATGTGACTCACTCCACTGGCTTGCTGTTGAGTATTCATTGATTGAAGTACTGCCTTATCAAGACCCAACTTAAGACTAGCCCTATAGGAATAAATCGAAAAAAATGGGGAGAACAGAAGGCACATTTTATAAAATAGTATATACATGTGCATTTTGACATTCTTATACTGTGTAAAATGTTTGAGCTGATTCAAACTAAAAGTTTTTGAGTAATGTTCTAGAAATGACCTATTTTTGAAAAATACTCAATGCTATATAGTCCATGATTTGTTCCAAAAATGGTTAAAAAATCACCCCTAGTTTTTATTATATTTTCTGATACATATTGATGTCTTTATGCTGTGTAAAAAGTTTGAGCTGATTCCGACTTTAATTTTTCAAGTTACAGCCATTTAAAAAAATGGCCGATTTGTGTAAAACTACACAAGGCTATAGCCCATGGTTTTTTCCAAAAAATGGCTCCGGAACTACCTCAAATTTTTATTACATTTTCTGATACATATCAATGTCTTTATGCTGTGTAGAAAGTTTGAGCTGATTCCAAATTCAATTTTTCAAGTTACGGCCATTTTAAAAAAGTGCCAAAATTCTGAAAAATACCCAAGGCTATAGCCCATGGTTAAAAAAAAAAATGGCTCTGAAATTATCCCAAATTTTTATTACATTTTCTGACACATATTGATGTACTTATGCTGTTAGAAAGTTTGAGGTAATTCCAACTTTAATTATTTGAGTTTCTAAAAATGGCCGTTTTTTGAAAAATACCAAAGGCTATATATACAGTAGCTCATGGTTTTTTCACCCAAAATTTTTATTACATTTTCTAATACACATTGATGTCCTTAGAAAGTTTTAGCCAATTCTGACTTAAATAATTTCAGTTAATGCATACATATGCATGTAATAATGTTAACATATGTCCTAATACATGTAATTATATTGATATACAAGTACATGAATTGTATTTTACTGTACCTGTCAAACATTTCTCTCTCATATGAGTTAGTAGTGATTAGTCTATAAACCTTTACCATCTTATTCTGACCTATTCTATGACACCTTGCCTGAGCCTACAAACACACAAACATACGTTTAAATTCAGAAAGTAAGAATCAATTAAAATCAAATCAACTCAATTTAGCATTAGATTTAACATTAACACTAATCAATTGTAATCAAAGAGGTGTTAAGGTACCTGTATATCATTCTGAGGGTTCCAATCAGAGTCATATATGATGACAGTGTCAGCCGCTGTCAGGTTAATACCCAAACCTCCAGCACGAGTGCACAGTAAAAATACAAACCTATCATATTCTGTCAATAGGAATAAGAAAAAGAAACAAGAAATTAAGAATTATAGTAGATACACATGTACAGAGAAAATACAGGTAACTACATGTACATGTATTGTATAATACGTGTATGTACATGTACATGTATTCCCAAATTGATGCCCAAGCTTCTAATTCCCTACAACTTGAAATAATCTCCTACAGTATACATAATATAGGCTTTTATTTCTTTGATGCATCTGCCCCAGGCTTCTGATTAAAATAGTTTTATGACAATATTAATTGGTGTACAATTTCAATGTGAATTCGTGTGTGCATGTGTGTGTACCTGGTTTAGAGAATCTATCAATGGCTGCTTGTCTCAATGTACCACGTACCTGACCATCAATACGTTCATACATGTAACTAGAGAGAGAAATAGAATAGGGAGAGATTAATTTAAAAGATGAAAGAGAGAGAGAGAGAGATTTAAAAATATTAAAGAAAGAAGAGATAAATACATGCACATGTATAGGACCAGAACAGAGCTATATCAATATTCAAATTATCCAAGTCAGAGTCTTGTTTTAATCTTACCCTTTCATACGTAAATAATCCTCAAGTATATCAAGACACTTAACCATTTGTGAGAATATCAGTACCTACAAAAATTGAAAGAGTTTTGAGAACAAAATTTCCCAAAAGCATATGATCTTTTTCTACTGTACTAAAGTTGTAAAACCCATAACTAATTACTTATGTCACAAAATGAGATTTATTATGACAATTTTTTGGTACCCACAGTATCTAGCTGAAAGTTAAATCATGTTAAAGTTAAGCTTGGTACCTGTACCAGTATACTCTCAATCTTACTTTGTGTCCCTTTTCTCTCAGTTTGGGTAGCAACTTGTCAACAAGTACTAGTTTACCAGAGGCTTGAATGAGGGACTCTGATATGTGTCTATTGGGAAAATGGACCTGGAAATCCTCAACAATCTTTAACTCTGCCCCTGAAAAAAATACAATTAATACAAAGAAAAAAAGGAAATTAGAGAGTGGAAAAAGTACTAAAGCGGAATGAAGCTAGAAGTGGTATTAATGCAAGTGTGGTTTAATAGTATAATAAACATGCACTTATACACATACATATAAAGTTAATGAAAGGTGAAACAAAAAGCAAAGCTGAAGGAAAATGAAAGAGAGAATTACAAAGAAGGAAAGTGAGAGAGAGAGAAAGATATAACATATACCAGCAATAAGGAAAGGATGGTTGCAACACTTCCTTAGTTCCATCATAGTGTTCAATAGGTTTGGTACTGTGTTGCTCCCTTTAGTCAGAAAAGTGAAGTTCCTTTCCAATATTGCTCTGTAGTACTGCTTCTGAATAGCAGTCAGCTCAATCTAAATAAATAATAATAATAAATTTATAAAAATAACCTAAGTTATAATTTCTGTAGCATACCGTATACCATGAAATTTATGCGACAAAATTTTTTCGCGAATCCTGTATTTCTAACATTTCATGAAATAAATTTTTGCGAATAGTTTGTAGACTGCACTACATGGCTATGGAGCTGCAGAATTTTGACATTTAATTTTTGCAACAAAGAAAAATTTGCAAAATTTTTTTGTTGCATAAATTTTATGGTATATGGTATTGCTTTGCTTTTAATTAGTACAAATGTTGCCACTGAATTGTGGCCTATGTTATTGCTTGTGCATGGACTAGCTTGTTTTTCATGCTAATAACAGTGTCAAGTTTCAATTTCATTATGAGACTCAAAACATATGTGTGTGATAGTTTTTATTATGCTAATAGAGCGAAGTAATGTTTTTATTTTCAATGCAAAACAAATACATCACCATAGGATACAATACAGTGTGTAGCAAAACATAACATGCACTCATAGTACAAGTAGGAGTAATTATGGCAACCAGTTTTGTTAAGAAGCTAGCTAGAAAGTGGAAACCATTTCTTCATATTGCTCCTTCAGCAGTCTTGGTTCTAGTTTGGAACTGTCTCATGAATTCTTACTACATATTAGGGAGTCGTTTCAGCGGTGTATTTACAACTAAAGTTGCTCCTGCCAATTGGTATAAGTATGGTTTGACTATTATATTTTCCTTTGGTTATTTCTTCTTTCCTTTATTTGGTCTGTTAGCTGATGTATGGATTGGAAGATACAAAGCTATACTGATTGGTATAGTATTGTGTTTTATATCATGGATTATAATAGGAATTTCATTTATTGTTGAAAGTTACTTTGCCCACTCTGAAGCAGTGATATGGACTTTTTCTAGCCTTGTTTACATTACAGGATTTTGTGGTTTTTCCAGTTTCACTGCTAACATTATTCAATATAACATTGATCAACTTGTTGGAGCTTCAGCTGATGAACTTAATTCTGTCATATACTGGCATATACTATCTGAACCACTTGTTTTATTCCTCTTTTACCTTCTTGAATGCTTATTTTATAGTAGTAAGTATTTTATCATAATCACTTTCATAGCATCAGGTGTATCTGTATCTCTTGTACTGGTGTCTCATTCATTCTTCAAACACAAACTGGAGAACATATCACTCATCAAGAATCCCATCAAACTCATAGTTAGAGTATTGTGTTATGCCAGGAAGCACAAGTATCCTCAGAATCGTAGTGCTCTGACCTACTGGGAGGAAGAGGTTCCTTCAAGGCTAGACCTGGGTAAGGATAAATATGGTGGACCATTCACAGAGGAAGAGGTAGAAGATGTAAAGACAGTATTTCGTATGCTACCATTATTCATTGGCTTTGTTGTAATAATTCTCAGTGATGACTACTATTGGTCTGCTGTTAAGAGTTTTACATTACCAACTTGCTTAGCAGTAACAGGCTCTCAGTATTATTGTTGTTCAGTAATTCTAATGTTAGTTTATTTATTCTTTATCAGAGTGTGTTTCTACAAGTATATTCCCAGTATGCTGACTAGAATGAGTGTTGGTATCTTCCTTGCTTTCATTGTTACAGTTTCTAAAGTGATCATATTTTTCATTGAGAGGTCTCATCCTGACATAACCAATGTTGGTAAACTGCTCTTTATTCCAAAAACTATACAGGCATTTTCTTATATTCTTGTGTATGCAGTATCACTGGAGTTTACAGTAGCTCAGTCTCCAGTACACATGAGAGGAGTGATGGTTGGATTGTGGTATGTTACTTCTTTGGGAATTGGTTACCTCACCAATGTTATTATCAAGTTTGTTTTTGATTGTGAGAGTCAATACATATGTACTAGTTTGTATTATTATATAACAAAGAGTGTACTAGTTCTTATCATACTGATAATGTTTGTGATACTGGCTAAACGTTACAAGTATCGTGTGAGAGAGAATGAAGTTAATATTTTTCAGATAGTTGATGGTCATTACCAGAAATACATGGAACAAGAGGAAAAATATATAAAAGATAATATTTAAACCTTTTAGTTCATGTTTTCTGAAGTTGCATATAACATAATAAATTATATTTATTTTATCACAACACCTGTGTGCAGTAAACTTTTCTTACTATTATTATATTTACATTCATACTAAGATGATGAATATTAAAAAGATTACTGAAGAAAGATTAATGTTGTGTTAATTCATAAAAAGCAAAAAAGACTGATAATAATGGTAGCTTCTACAGTACATGTAGACTGTAACAGTTTCTATATGAGGCTGAGACTGATATGTAAAGTAATAATCTTCATTTTACATCACCACTTGACTCTGTATTGCATTGTACTATACTATATATATTAGAGTATGCATCAATCTCTGTTAATAGGCACAGCTTTTATGACTAGAAAACTACAATTCAAATGTCTTTATTTCAATGTTTCAACCACTTAAGCATTGACGTAGTTTAATAGTTCATCTACCACAGCATGACAGTATACTGAGCACAATATTCAAAAGGTTTTCTATAATTGTGAGAATCTATACTAGTTACAAAGAGTGTACTAGTTCTTATCATACTGATAGTGTTTGAGATACTGGCTAAACGTTATAAGTATCGTGTGAGAGAGAATGAAGTTAATATTGCTCAGATAGTTGATGATCATTATCAGAGATACAGTATAGCACTTTTTTGGTGGTGTTTTATTGTAGAGGCCATTTATTTTGGCAATTTTGCTGTAAAATTATACTTGGCGGTTTTTAATTTAGCGATTTTGTGCACATGTGCATTACTGAGAATGCCCATTAATGATTGGAGGTTTTAATATTAGCAAAGCTACTAGTAAACCACCAATTGCAAAAATATAACTCTACTAAATTTAAGCGCTATACAGTATACAAATTAAAAGCAACAAATTGGTAATGATGTACATTTACATTATGTACTAATAAGGAGTATAGTGCATTTGTATGCTCTTGGGACTACAACAGCATTTTTTATAATGAAAGTAAATTTGTGTTATTTTTATATTATCACATTTAAGATAAAAACATGATTTACAAACTACATTAAAGCCTCCAATTACATTATTGTATTGTGGGAATAATTATGGCAACCAGTTTTGCTAGGCAGCTAGCTAGAAAGTTACAACCTTATCTTCATATTACTCCTTCAGCAGTCTTGGTTCTAGTATGGAACTACCTCATGTATTTTTATTACGTATTGGGAAGTCGTTTCACTGGTAGATTTATAGATCAAGTTGCTCCTGCCAATTGGTATAAGTATGGTTTAGTTATTATGGTTTGTTTTGGTTATTTCTTCTTTCCTTTATTTGGTCTGTTAGCTGATGTATGGATTGGAAGATACAAAGCTATACTGAGTGGTATAGTATTGTGTTTTATATCATGGATTATATTAGGAATTGCATTTATTGTTGAAAGTTTCTTTGCCTCTATAGCAGTGTTATGGACTTTCTTCAGTTTCGCTTATATTACATTTTTTTGTGGCAATTCCAGTTTCACTGCTAACATTATTCAGTATAACATTGATCAACTTGTTGGAGCTTCAGCTGATGAACTCAATTCTGTCATATACTGGCATATACTAGCTGAACCACTTGTTTTATTCCTCTTTTACTTTTTTCAATGCTTATTTTATAATAATAAGTATTTTATCATCATCACTTTCATAGCATCTGGTGTATCTGTATCTCTTGTACTGGTGTCTCATTCATTCTTCAAACACAAACTGGAGAACATATCACTCATCAAGAATCCCATCAAACTGATAGTTAGAGTATTGTGTTATGCCAGGAAGCACAAGTATCCTGAGAATCGTAGTGCTCTGACCTACTGGGAGGAAGAGGCTCCTTCAAGACTAGACCTGGG